AACAGTTTGATCTGACCATTACTGTCTTGGTTATCTGTAACAGTTTGCAGCAAATGAGTAGCTTCAATGAGCTTAGGACTTCACAGCTTTATCCCTGTTAAGCTTGAACCTTAAAATTCTGAATTAAGAATTCAGATGAAGATCCTTTAGTATCAGAATAAAACTTTAAACTGTAAATATAGTCCACAGAGAAACTGGGAACCTTATTTTACTGGTCCTTTCATAATGTGTCTTTATAGAATATCAATTTCTTGTATGACTCAGTTTATCTAAACAGCTGAAGTTTAACAAGGTTAACAAAGACAAACAGTGTAGACGTAGACCTTCAGGTCAGTTTCTGCTTGGATGAGCCTTAGTAATTCATAAATCTTATTTAACAAACACATTGTTCTTTTTTTTTTAAGATTTCTTTATTTATTTTATGTATTTGAGTACACTGTTGCTGTCTTCAGTCACACCAGAAGAGGGCATCAGATCCCATTACAGATGGTTGTGAGCCACCATGTGGTTGCTGGGAATTGAACTCAGGACCTCTGGAAGAGCAGTCAGTGCTCCTAACCACTGAGCCATTTCTCCAGCCCCCACATGTTTCTTATCTAAGTTTTTAGGTCTTGAACACAGTTAGTAAAGAATAAGTGGTTATGCATACATCCCTGAGCCATTTTCTGTTAACCTGATGTCTTAGGGCTTCTGTTGTTGTAAAGAAACACCATGACCAAAAAGTAAGCTGGGGCGGGAAGGGTTTGTTTGTTTGGCTTACATTTCCATATTGCTCATCATCATCGAAGAAAGTCAGGGCAGGAACTCAAGCAGGGCAGAGTTCTGGAGGCAGGAGCTGATGCAGAGGCCATGAAGGAGTGCTGCTTACTATGTTGCTTCTCCTGGCTTGCTCAGCCTGCTTTCCAATAGAACCCAGAACCACAGCTCAGAGATGGTACTACCCACAGTGGGCTGGGCCCTCCCCCATGAATCACCAGTGAAGAAAACACCTTACAGCCAAATGTTGTAGAGGCATCTTCTCAATTGAGATTCCCTCTTTTCAGATAACTCTAGTTTGTGTGTCAAGTTGACATAAGACCAGCCAGTACTCTTTATAACTTTAAGAATTTAAAAACTATAATTGTCAAACGCAGATTGTTCTCAATCGTCTTCTCCATGGTCCTTGTACATGGCTTTGTCCTCATGTGCCGTTTTCACTC